AGTCATTTTTTCTGCCCTAATAGAAAATTGTATATTTTTCAAAAACATACCATTTGATAACCCTTTAAATTCTCTAAAAATTCTACATTTTTTATTAGGGCAGAAAAATGACTAAGGGTGTGTTTAAAGCACTAAGATAGGTGAAAATTATGACATCGGCCAAGTATTTCGACTATTCACCCATGTGGGCATATTTTTGAAAGACTTATTTATGGCTCATTTTGAAGCCCAAAAAATTCTCCATCTTTCTATATATAAAACATTCCGATGATTCTGAGTAGATGAGTTCAAGAATATTCCTTAAAAAAAGAAGCATTTCCGATCATTTTCACTCAAAATCATATTGGGCCATTTTCTAGAAGAAACCATTCCCTGTCCTTTAATAAACACTTAAGTCGACGCTTAGATTTGTTATTGATAAGTTATTCTTTGTATCATTCTAGGTAATTGATTGTGAAATAAAGATGGCACTTGCATTAACTCTGCTAGATCTAAGCAAAAAGTTGATAGAATACTCTAAAAGCGGTGGTGAGTATATTTGTAACTAGAAGAACTCTTGTAATAAATTGTGAAAACTGTTTTATATATATTATAGATACTGAAAATGTTCTTAAACTCATTGAAAATGGTGCTGCAGTTAGTAAAGATTGGGTAAAACAAACGCACTAAACTTGGTCTTATTAATATTGTGCATATCTGCTGTTTGGAATAGTTAGGCAATACTCCATTGCATTGGGCTTCGATGAATGGACATAAAGACGTTGTAGAAATCTTACTCGCATCTGGTTGTCAAGTTTCTGTAAGATCGAAAGTAGAGCAAACACCATTACATCATGCATCGCATAATGGACATCATGAAGTTGTTTCAGTGTTAATAAGGACGGGTGCGGATCTAAATTCAATTGATATGGTAACATTTTAAAAATAATAAAAAACTTCATATGGAAACATAAATATCGTTTGAATTGAAGTATTTCTCTCCACTTAGCTTCGTATGACGCCGCTTCATTGGGCATGTGATTTTAATCATTATGCGTGTGCACGTTTACTAATTATGTACGGTGCAGATACATTCATATCCGATAAATTTGATCGAACTCCAATGACTATAGCAAAAAGTCATAACAATCAAAAAATAATTGAATTAATTGAACAATCCACAGAAGTAATTAATTAATTTTGATTGAAATAACTGGAAAAAAAAAGTATCTTGTATTTATTTTCTTATAGTTAACCATATGTCAAAATGAATCAATCGATGATGGCAATATTTTATCATTACCAAGATTAGACGACCATACAATAGCAACGAGTGAATGTTTGTTTACGCAGCGAAAAAAACCAATAATAATAACAAATGGAAAAATAAATTCAACTCCAGCAGGTAGCTGTTAGTTATTGAGGGATTTTGTAACATAATATTTTAATACAAATCAATTTTGTAGGCATTAAGAGAGATATCAAAATTACCTGACCATTAAGCCAATGAATACTGTTTTATTTCATCATTTTTTTCCCTCAGATACTGATTGTCTGATAATTTGTACATGTTTTTATTTTAAGATTGTTTTTTGGTGTAAGTTTTACAATATTGAACAGTTTTTATAATTTATTTTAGAATTATAACTCGTACTGTAGAAATTTGACAATTTTAACAACTATTAATTTGAATGAACCTGCTGGTAATTTATGTTTTTTGTAGTTATTTAAATCTTGTTTCAAAAGAAATTTTTTTGTTATCGTTTATAGAGTAGAAATGTATGCAAATTAGAAACATACTTTCTTTTTTGTTCTACTCATTTAGAATATACATTGTCACTGCGCATCCAGTAAAGTAGAACAAAATGATGTTCACATTTTTTCAGCACATTTTCCAGTGATATTTTTCAATTTTTTACTTTAAATTTCATCCAATTGAACAAATCTATTCCCATTGGCTAAATGGATGGATATAAAACTTCAAGCAAGAATAAATCAAATGGCACAACAACTATTAAAAAAAAAAGATGATCAATAGCAGTTTATTGATTAATCACGTTTTTTACTTTACATTTAATTTGAAATTTTGTCATACGTTTTCTTATTTGAAAAGGCTATTATCTCATTTTGTCACCCTTCGTTAACTTTTTAAAGGATAATAAAATCAATGATGATAACAATCATCACCGTTCACAATTGTTTTTTTTTGTTGTTGTTAAATAGACAAGTAAAAAAAAAAGAAAATAAGTCGATTTTATATAATCCAATACTACAAAAAAAGAACAGCCTGTGTAGTAGATCCATGAAAACGAGGTCAAAAAATATATTTACAGAAAAAAAAAGAATCGCCTACATAATTCAAAGTACATAGAAGAAGAAAAAAATATGCAAGAAATCGCGTACTGGAAATTCAAAACAACCGGTATATATTTTTTTTCTTCACCGGGTTATATAAGTTATTAAGGATTTCGTATTCAAAAATAGTATGAAGGCGAGAGTTAAACTAATACTATCATCGGGATAACTCTAACTGGAAGAAGATCAGACAAACAGAAAACAAAAAGCTGAGACTTGTGTGGCTAATTAACGTACTTTCTGTTTTAAGAAAAGTTTTTGTAGAAAGAAAACAGTTAAAGCTAAAAAGATTTCAAAAGTTATGAAGATTAGAAAAAAGAAAATGTTTTCGTTTTCGTGCTATATCAGAAACAGTTTAGTATTATAACTATCGATACTCTTTAAATTTCCATATGAAAATTTCTAATGAAAGTTATTTGTCTAGTGTCTACACTTTTATCCTATGTGTGTTAAGAGTTTCCTGTGTACTCACTCTATTACCATTTACATAGTGTAGATAATGCGGCTGGTAATTTTAATCCTCTTCCAATGGTTTGGTACGCTTCTACAACGCATTTCGATAATTGAGTAACATTAGCAACTCGTGCGTGAACCATCGAAATATAGTTTGTATTCTCACATTGAAATGCATAAGTGTTGTTTCGTATCATTAGACGTCGTGATAAATAATCATTTAATAATGATACAGATCCTACACGTAAATAATCAATTTGTGAGGGTAGATAAATTTCAATATTTAAACGTAACGTTTCATAGCTTGATAATTCGTATGCCGGTGATAATGTGAGACGTATTGGCAAAAGTAATCGACGATAGAGAGATACTATAATGTTAACTATTTGTATATAGAGAAAATCTAAAATATATGCGATCTTTAGTAAAGAATTAAAACATAACAATGATTTTCTTTCTTACCAATCGATTTTGATTGTAGATTAATCGAAGTTGGATCATTTTTTGTTATTGTTGATTTTAATAAACGTTCAAATTGTTCA